AATCTGTTTTGGAGGTCCACTGTCTCATATGTATGCTGCACATTGTAAAGCTTTTGCTTTGCATTATCCCAGCTGAACTCTTAAGTTTTGGAGATCTCTCTTTATGCCAGTATCCTTAGAAATAAAGTTACTTGGGAGAAACACTAAAAATGAAAGTCTAGCAAAACTTCTAAAAAGCCTGTCTTTTTAGGGGTAGCTCTAGATATGTCAGTCTACCCATCCTGTCTCCTGGTATAATCTTGGGGAGAGAATAGCTTGAATTTAGAAGCAGTGAAATTCAGATGGTGTTGCAGGGTACTGTAGGTATAAGGTATCTGCACCTGCTAAAATTCACAAAGTATTGGCTGTGTTGGGAGCATGAATGAACCCAGATGTGAGCTGAGGGAGAACTGGCAGAGCTGTAGTACTGGATGTTTGTTCCCAGTTTTGACTGGATGCAAGTACATGGGCTTAAAACCTCTCAATGCACCCATTCTGAACCTCTTGTCATCAGAAACTGGTGGTGCTGTCCACTTACAAAGGCAGAGCTCCTCCAACATAAAAGTACCAAATGAGGCCAGTCTACAGAGAGCCTGCTCTGAAGCGTCGTTTTCAGAAATAAACGGCTGTGTCACAAGGTTAAATCCCAGTGACGATGACTTTAAATTTTGCATTTTAGGATTGTACAGACTAGTGGAGCCGTGACTGTTTCCAAGTATACTTGTAACGTGTGCTAAAGTGTGCAAGTGATGACTGTCTTAATTTCCTGTCCTCATTCAGCCATCAAATTGTACATTCAACTTGTGAGTGTTCCCTCCTTCCTCCACTTGTGTGCACGTGCATGCATGCACACATGTTCATGTGTGCCCAGGTGCACTGCATGCTCCTATACTCTCTTGTAGTGCCCGTACGTACAAGACTATTCTTTACTCTTTCCATTCCCATTTGGCATTATTTGGGAACAGGAGAGAATAAAATCTGCTCTTCAGCAGATGCTTCGTTGCTAGGTCAGGGGAAAGTAGAATAAATTTTCAACATTTGAGATTTTCAACTGCATCCAGAATTTACCAACTATTCCTCCTTAATGGAAGTTAAGAGCTGCTGGAGTATTAAGTCATTGAACTGTCAGTGAGGCTGTTCTTTGACAGCTGACAGAGGAATGAGGTTTATCTCAGCCAGCCTTTTATTCTTTCTAAATCCTCTGTTTGAGTGTCTGTAAGGGTGAAGCAGCTATCTGGATTGGTGCTGTCAAAGCCAAAACTCTCTTTTAAGTGGTCCTTCCCCTGCCCACAAATAAAACAAACCTGAAGTGATTTTTGAAGAACTCGAGTTTCTTGCAGCTTTTTCCTTCTTGTATTCCTGTCTAGAGAACAGTTTCTACTTTCATAGTCTCTGTTGCTGTGAAAATATTAATTGGTCTTGAATGCTGCCTTTTTTGTGGAGGGAAGGGGAGGCGAGGGGGAATGATAAGAAAATTGCAGAGCATGAGCAATCTATCATGAGGCCCTGGAGAAGACTAGACTTTTGTGAATGAGACGGGAAGAGTAGTGTAGCTGTAGGATCTATGGGGACTTACACCAAAAGCGGGTTTTAGCCACCATTAATAATCTATGCCTTGGTTGCAGCAGAGGAATTCTCTGCCATTTTCTTTTTATTTTGCCTTACTTACACTGAAAATGTGCAGAAATCTGCACTTTTGTTCATGTAAGTACTTAAGTACATAAGGTACTATGGACTTATGTAAACAGTACTTTTACACCTGTGTGTTACCTAACACTGCAGAAACTCGCCATCAGTATCACTAGATACTCTAGTGTCTGGTGTGTATCAATGCCCTTGTCCTTGCTAGGTGCAAGGACACTGCATGCATAACGCTTAATGGTAAGAGATTTTTTTTCCACGAGCTGACATAGCAGCAGCCAGCTTGTGTGATGCAATTGTTTTTATCCTTTGCATCTGAAGTCCAAAAGTGCATGTGCACACACAGTTTGCTCAGCAGTTCTATTAAGATGCTTTATTATCTTGGCTCATTCGTGAGCTAAGCCTAAGTTTTAGCCTTGAGTTGCCTTCTCTGTCCCAATTATAGCTTCGGTTAATTGTTTCTAGGAGGGCAAAATGCCAAATAAAACATAAAACAAGAAATAAATATAGAGTGCTGAATACACTGACGATATAAAAGCCATGTGATGAGTATTGGCCAAACAGTTGGAAAGCTAGTCTTTTTTCTGAATTATAGTAGACAGCAAGACAGAGAAATAGTCTTAACACTAGTAAATAAATATGTATTTCCTTTGTGGTGTGAGGTTCTTGCTGTAATCTTTTTCCTTTACTATCTCTGTAGTTTGAGAGAAAATAGTAACGCGGCTGCCTTATCGCTTTTAGGCTTTGGACAGCCTGCTATTTCAGATTTCAGTACAACAGCACCATTCTTAACCCATGAATTTCAGGCACTCCTTTTCAAGCTTGATGTATTCCAGCCTCATAGCTGTGCTTCCCTGTTCAGACTGTGAAGCTCTTCTGATCTATGCATCTTCAACTCTTAGTATTTATTATGCTGCCTGATGAAATGTACTGTGCACTGCTGTTGGTGCTGCTGTGGCCAGTGCTGATGGTGGTACCCATGCCTCCTGGATTTGGTGTCTGGGTGGGTGGGTGAGGTGTTTGGTTTTTGGATTGTTTTTTACTGCTTTAAACCATATTGTAGAGACACAGTGGGATGGTTAAGTGTGGGGGGAAAAAAGGCATTTCAGGATGGGAGACAGCCTTTTATTCTTGAGAGAAATTGGGGAAATGAGATGTCTCTGATCAGTCCAAAGCTAGAGAATAACCAGGCTCCTGTTGCCGCAGGCTGCCCCTGCCATTTGAACAGGTGCAAAAGGTGGCTGGCTGGTCTAAAACTGAAACCACATGGTGGGTTCTTGGGGCCAGGCCTGAAGAAGGGAACAATTTTGCTCAACAAGATTGCTTAGTCCTGATTTATTCTGAAACGGTCTGACTAGACATATGAATTGAAAGCTCTTGTTCGGAAATGCAGGCCTAGGGGTACTTGTGTCAGACTGGTGCAAGTCAGAGAGCTGGAATCCAAGTTCCCAGTCCCCAGGTCTTGTAAGAAAAATGCATATTCTGGCATTTGGCCACAGACTGAGTGTTACAAGTTAGCAGTATCTTTTAATAAGCTCTGGCACTTTCTCCCTTCTGCTTGTAGCTTCTAACCTCTTTCTTCGGGGTTTCCTCTCCTTCAGAGCCAGACTATGAGGTGTTTCTGAATGCCTCTAGAACACCCAAGTTTTCAGATGACCCCACAGAGCTCAATTGCAGGATCACAGATGCACAAGACACCGAAGCAAACATCCGCTTCACAGTTTCCTGGTACTACAGGCAGCGCCTGCGCAGTGATGATGTTGTGACAGAGGAACTCCTGGCCACGATGGATGCAGACTGGACTCTGCTGCTTGGGGACAGGAGCAGAGAGCGGACTCAGAACGGGGAAATCATCTTCTTCAAAAAGGCTGTTGACACCTTCAGTTTTCGAATCCAGTGGACTTCAGAAAGTGACAGAGGGGATTATTTCTGTGTCATCTCTGCATGGAGTAGGCACCGCAACAACAGCTGGGTAAAGAGCAAAGATGTGACTTCTACATCTGTCAGCATTTTCTGGGCTACACAAGGTAGGAACCTTGCACCTATTCACTGAAAGACCTGGATAGCTGGGGTAGTTTTCTCTTGCGTAGGCCGGTCAGCCAGAAGGCTTGCTAATGGGCTTTGGAAGTGGGGTTCTGTGTTACGAAGAGAAAAAAACACTATTACCTTGTGTAAAGGCTTCTTATTTGTGGAGGGAAGTAATTACGTAACAGAACTCGCCAGTTTTATGCAACAGTTTGGAGTGGAAGTGCAAAGCAGAGATAGGTTAGTCAAGCTCTTCTGAGACTTCCAGGAGCCGGGCTGTCATTGTTGCAGGGGTGACATCCAGCAGGGATGCTGGGGTCATTGCCCCCTTTGATGACTTGGAGTATTTCAGTCTCTCTAGGATGCATCTTGCTGCTAGCAGCAGGGCTGTCTTGAGGTGAAAAGAGGAATGTCCCTCACTTTAAGTATTATCTGTTTGCCAGTTGGAGAGGTTTTTTTTTTTTTCTTCTCCTACAAGCCCATGTTTAGAAGGCACTTCTGAGGAAGCTCCTGGGCATAAGTAGTATTAGAGTGTCAAAAATAAGTAAGTGGCAGAGCAAAGTCATTCAGTGATTTGCTTGGATATGGGCCTTTTTTAGGCACAAGTGAACTAGCTCTAGTCAGTATTTAAATCGACTCTGGGAGCGTTTCTTAGAAATTAGAGTTACCTGAATTGCTTAATACTGGTTTAAAATGGGTATATGTATCCTGGGTGTCCTATAGAGTTGATACTGTTTTGGCTTAGGTGTCAGGTCATGCAAGAGGGTCTGTTGGACAGGGACAGAAGGAATAGGATAACCTAGGATGTAACGTCTTTGGCAAAAATCCCTGTTTAGCTAAGCTGCATTTGTCCTGGTAGATTTGTTTAACAGTCTAGCTCAGGCAGCCGCGGGCAGAGAACTGTATTTCAGAGACAAGTAGTTTGAAGTCAGTTTAAAGTTGTTTAGGGATAATCCCCAAACAGAAAATTGGAGAGCTTGTGGTGTGATTCTGTTTCAGTGGAGAGAGAAATGGTGGGCTGCTTGCTCACTACTCCCTTCATCCCCAGACCAAGCGTGGTCCATGAAACGCATGTGGGGTTTTGTTGTTGGTTTTTTTTTTTTTTTTTTTTCCCCTGAAACTGGCTCTCCAGCATAAATGAGATCTCTCATTAATGCTGAATGGTGGTCACAATTAGTTCGGTTGTTATGCCACAACACAGAGTGTGTGTGTGTGTGTATGTGCATGCATGCGTAATGGATCATTGCCTTCGGAGCAGCTAGAGAAACCAGCTGGAGCTGAAAAGTCTCAGCCTGTGTTGACATTTCTGAGGGAAAACAAACAGTGACAGGTGTGAACATTCCCTTGTTTCTGGTTTTATTCCAAAAACTCTGCTAATTTTGCAACACAAATGTAAATGTTATAGTCCCCATGCTGAAAAGTACATTTTTTTGGCAAAACTTGGAGCTGGGGGATTTATGATGTGAAAGTGACCTCCCCTACAAACACTTTCTCCTCCTGAAAAATCATAAGTATATAAAGGGGGGTGGGGGTGGGCAATATATGGGTTTGATTTCCCCTTCTTCCCTTCCACCCCTCATGCACAGCCCCCTACGCTCTTGCAGCAGTCCAGCCCCTGGTGCCTTTCTCTGTGTGCCCTGTCCCCTGCCATATCCTGTTTGTGTGAGCTCCATACTCGGCTGTGAGCCCAGTGCTGTAGCCAGCAACTATGAAGGAGTTAATCTGCTGCTGCCTCTGCTCTCCGACTGTTGTTTTGACAAGTATCTCTGGTGATTTGAATCTGTAACTGCTCTCAGTGCTTATAAAAGGGGGCAGCCAGGCTCCCATGTGTTTGTCTAAGGAGAGAACAGGAATTTGCCTCTTCCTTGGATAGCTTGTGCCTACGTAGAGGCTTTTCTTCCAACTTTTTCATTACTTGCATCATCTGCATTAACTTTAGAGCATTGCTCGGGGTGGGATGACTTCAGAGAAATCCCACCTTGGAAAAGGTTGTTCTGAGTTTGAGAAAGGAGAAATGGTTTTATGTTGTGTCTGTGGGTCAGTCAGCATGGAGGGATGTTCAGGAAGCCTTTGCTTAAAATGTAAACATCATGTGAAGATGTCAAAGTCCTTTTTGTGTGTGTTGTATAAGAAGTTGTATGTTTGCCCCTTTTAACTTGAGGTTTTTTACCTTGTTTTTTCTATTTTGTTCTGTTGGGACCAATAATGCTCATGTCTTTCTGCTTACTCAACTTTGAAAATGCAGCCAGTTGCTACCATAGAACACTGTTGGTTTTGCTATGGTCTGCATGATTTGTTTCTTCCCCTCTGCCTTCTACTCTCTCCCCTGCTAAGGTGACAAAGGAAGCATCTTTTATCTCACCTCAAAAGTGAAAAGCATCAATTATATTGTTATTTTTTGCTTATTTAGAGTACAAATACCAATCAGTAAAAAGGGGTAAAGGAAGGGAGGAGGCCTTTTTTGACTGGCTCTGTCAAAAATACGATTTTCAACCCAGAAAAAAGTTTGATGGTTTAAAGGGTAATTTTATTTATTAATTTGAGTGTGAGTACTGCCTGTATTTAAAACACAGTTGCTGTTTGCAGTGAAATGCAGAATTGGTGCTTGTTTCCTAAACCAGTGTTGTCAACTTTGGATCTGTATGGAATTCTTTCCAAAAGAGAACACTATGTTTCAACTGAAATTCCGAATCCCAAAGGTACTACTATTTGGCTTTTTTAAATACTTCTGTCTTTAATTTACAAAATAATTGTATTTAACATAGTGTTACTTGTCCTAAATGCTTGCCCAGGCCCTCCCATAACATTTAATCAGGAGCAAGGTCATCTTAATCTTTCAGAAAGTCCTGCAAATAGAGAACAAGTGACGTTCCTGCCACCCACTTGTCTTTACCATTGCCGGTGTATAATAGACACTGCATAGTACAGACATGCAGCTTCTCCTGAGCAAAGAAATCCTCATACCCATGGCACTGAGCTGCCAGGTGTACGTGCCGGTTTGGGGTTACGAACAAGAAAGTGCATTAAGTGAGGTGTACAAGTCCCACTCAGGGCTGGCTGGGCTCCTCATGCCCATGGCTGCGTGAGGGTGAAGCATTCATGCTCTTTACTTGGCAGGGGAGCAGGCCAGTGAGGATGGTCTAGTTGGGTGTGTGCAGCACTGGGGAGAGCCGTTGCGTTGTATATACTTTTATCAGGCTGTGGTGCGGGCCTCTGCGTGCCTGCTGTATTTTCAGAGCTCATAGTATCAGAGCTGCTGAGGCTACAGTCATACCTCAGGGTGTTCTATAGTCTCCTTCTCCTACGAAGGCAAAGCTGTCATTACCTTAATGTCTGTTGCCTTCCCTGTACTCGCAATCTAGCTAGTGCATTGGGGGATGAAGAAGCCTTTATGAATATTGAGATGGCATTACTTGAGGCTGCTGATGAGATGTTAGGATCTGAGGTTACTGTTAGCTGTGGCCATTGTGCTGCTTTTCTGACCCGAGTCAGTGGAGTGCAGGGAAGGTGTTTGCTGTTTCCTAAGGTCTCCTTGCCCTTGTAGCTTTTAGGCTTCTTTAGCAACTTGACTGCCTTAGATTAGGTGAAAACTCCTTTTGGTCACTAACCAGGAAGTTACTCTGAATCTGAGCATGCACTTTGTGGTAGGGAGCAGGAGAATTACAGTGTGGCTTAACCACTTGGAGGGGCCAGTGATGGAAGGCAGAGGCATCTACTGCCAGGCTCCAAAGTACAGTTTATTACTCAAATTTTATCTGAGTCATTTGGCTAGGATTTCTTCTGTTGCTAGCCCTCTGTCTTGGAGTAGCCCCCAAACTGGTTATAAGCTTTGGGTACGGTTTAGTTAGGATCTCTTCCCCTACTGCTTTCCAACATACACAGGAGGCTGCAACCGGCAGAGTTTATAACCAGCCAGGGTGTGTTTTATTGTGCTTTTCATTCATGGAGCTTTACAAGGAGGAGGTGAGACTCTGCATGGGATTGCAGATGTGTGTGTAGAGGGGCAAGCATGTAGGGTAGTGGTCAAGACACAAGCGTTGCTGCCTTGGCAATTCTTGGAAGATGAGAGATGAGATCTTAGGATGCAGTTCTTGGAAGAAAATGTTGTTTGACCCCTCTTATGCTGTAAGATCTGATGAATAGTTTCTGTTAACATAGGAAACTGAAGAAACTTTCCTTTCCCACTTAACTTTTCTTGCCGGTTAATGTTATTTCTAACCAAAGTGCCAAATCTTTGCTTTCTCCTCTTTCCCATAATGTGCACTGTTACACACAGAGAAAACTACATGCTCTTCTAGGTGGGAGTGATGGAGTGCTAATTACATTTTGTCTGCTCCTGCTGAAGGAGAAGAATTTTGGCACAGAACCGTACTGTTAAGAATGGCAATCCAGGCTTTTCTAGTTGATAGGATATGGAACTTTGTTTGTTTTACTTTACTACATATGCATGTCTAATATTTTTGCGGACCCAGTTATGTTCGTTTGATCATCTTTGACTATCTTGCAACAAGAAACATTCAGTACCTGTATGTGTTGTTTTTTGTGCCCCCTTCTCTATTCTGGTCGGCATTTCTTATGGTCTTATATAAGAGGAGGTGCCTCTGCCTCCTGTATTCATTCAACCGAAGGAATTTTGGGCTTTTAAAAGGTAGAAAAATCCTTTGAAAGGACTTTCATAAGAATATATCTCCCTGTTCTCTGTTCAGCGTCCTAATTTCTAACCCTTTTGAATTCTAGCACTGTTCTCCAGCTGCATCTCTGGGCCTCAGATGTTCTCTTACACAAACTCTACAGATGTCATTTCCGCTGCTGTCCCATGCTGCCATCACTCCTTTCTGCTTTTCTTTAGCAAAAATAATTGGTAAAAGCAGCATTTTCTGCTGCCCTCAAATGGAAAGTCAAGAAAGTATGTCTAGGAATAAAGTTTGATCTGTCCTTTACTGGGGTCAAGACACTCCCCTGAGTACTGCTGCCTGACTTGTAGCTCAGGGAATAGTTGAAGGTAAGGCATTTGGAACCTAGATAGTAGGGAGAGTTGTCACTTCTCAGCTACATCTGTACTGTTCTGATCATGAGAAGGTATTTGTCTTAAGTATCTGTATGAGAGACCAAATGCAACACTTCTTTTTCGGCATCTAGGACCCAGTGCTCTGACATGAAGATCAACAGCACAAAGAATGTTTGCATCAGGAGGATTTTTTGCCCAGAGCCTCCTCACAAGGCCTAGAAAGCAGCAAAATGTGGCAGAGAAGTATGGCTAGCTGTTTGTGCTTCTGCTTTTGGGGCAAAAATATTTTGGCAAAAATTGTCTACTAGATTCCTAAAACAAGCAGAAAGCTGGCCTGTGTTGGGATCCTAAATGCTATAACCTTATGAAGAAGGTGGTATCAGAATGTCATGGACACAGAATGAGGAAAAAATGGATTTGAAGTCTTGAATCAGATGCATGATGAGTTCTCGTGCAAGGGAGCAGAGAATGACTCTGTGCAACTTCAGCTGTGATTGTACCCTGAGTGCCTAAACGTGCAGCTCTTGTATTCCCACTTGCTTAGTGGGTGGAAGTGTGTGTGGGGTGTTTAGTGTAGAGTATAAAGTAATTCTGTGCTCAGCTAGACCACTAGAAGCAACTCAGCCTTCCCCACTCCTGCTGTTTCTTTATATAGCTTTGTACTGTGATCTGCTTTATACAGTACTGATTTGAAGTTGTCATACCGGGTTTCTCATCTTGTGGGCTATGTTTACTCATTGTGAAAACTGCTGCTTCAAGGCAAAACACTGCAAAATGTAATCTTGACAAGTATCTTGTTGCTCTTCTGGGGAGGGCATAAATATTACTGCATTTATTTCAGTTTTGGGAAATGTGTAACAATCTCACCCTCGCTTATTTCCCTTTTCCTGAGAAGTTTTACCTCGCATAAAGGTGATCTGTGTAGTTTGGTTTTTTAACGTGTCCACCCATTTTTTTGTAAGGGAGGAAGGGAGAATATGCTGCAGCAATGTAAGTCCAGAAAGTCGGACTGTCTGAACTTTTGCAATACTGCTACTTTGGGAAGTAGCCGTGCGCTGTGTGTTTTGCCCCAGCACCCTTTCCTCTGCAAGAACCTGAGTGTGTGGAGTGTCTCTTCATCACGGTGCTGGGAAACTGGCAACTCCCTTTCTTTTTATCTGGCTCTGATTTCAGTCACTCCTCATTTTTCTCAATTTCTTATTGTGAGCTTGTATTTTTTGTGTCTTGAGGCTGTGCTCCTAGATGTATAATTTTCCCCAACCCTGTAATTAAGGGATTCTTGGGATTGAGGAGCCCCGGGACTTGGAGAATGCTGAAGAAAGGGAAGGAGACTGAGAAGTAACTGTTGTTGGCATTCTTGATGCCAGATGGGCTGTTGGGAAATGTCAGGGCTTCTGGTAGGCTTGTGCTCAGGTGAATACATGAGAAGCAGGGGAAGAGAACACACGTGGAGGCAGAGGTATACCAAACTCTTTCAGTACAGAGGTGTGTGTATGGGGGTACTGGGGATGGAGACTTCTTGTGTTACCACACACTTTCTTGTCATGCGATTTCAACCGATCTTGAGAGTTCAGCTGAATGTGTCTGGATTGCTGTTAGGGTGGATTTTCAAGGGAAATAAAAGAAGCTACACTAAGTGCTGCTGATTCAGTTGGTGGCAGCTTTTGTCACTAGCCATGCTTACTTCAGCAGTGTCCTTCTATCCTGTTGCTGAGAGTCCAGATGCAGTGTAAAACTGGGACTCTGAGTCTTGTCTGACTAATATCTTTAGTTCTGAATAAAAACTCCTGGAGGTCCTGTCATGCTATGACCTGTGTATTTATTATCTGTTCAGTATTTGGTGTTCGTTTGAATCCTTGCATCATGACCCAAACTGTTGTGTATTTGTGTGTGTGTGCCTACTGTTGAGTAGCATTCTGGGATGTTCATACGTGTTTAGATAAAAGTGCTGGGATTTGTCTCTCCAAAAAAAAGTGCTTTGCTTATTTGTAATCTTCTAGATTGAAAGGTGCTGTAGAAACAACTGCACCTATTTATTAACCCCTCTCTTGCTGCTTATTTCCTTCCCTCTTCAGATTACAAGCTTACAGTGGAGGCGGTAAAATTGAAGCCGTTCTTTGTAGCAGGCCATACCTTTGAGATGACATGCAAAGTGTCTTCAAAAAACATCAAGACGCCACGCTATTCTGTCCTCATTACAGCTGAGAAGCCACTAACGGATCAGTCAAATCCCAATGGAACCACTCGTATAATCTCCTTGAACCAGGATTCAGTAGTGCGGCTGGAAGACTGGACGGACCAGACTCGTGTGGACGGCGTGGTTCTGGAGAAGGTCCAGGAGAATGAGTTCCGCTACAGGATGTATCAGACCCAGATTTCTGACGCTGGTCTGTACCGCTGTGTGGTGACTGCCTGGTCTCCAGGTGGTGGTGGCATGTGGCGTGAAGCAGTGAATGGCTTATCCAACCCTATCCAGATAGACTTCCAGACATCAGGTTGGTATAGAATCTGGCAGCTTTGTGTCTTAAGCCAGAAAGGAAGATAGTTCTTTGACAGTCTCCCAGTTGTTTTCCCGTCCCTGGGAAATACCTACTCTTTGGAACATGGAAGGGGTCTCCAAATGATATGATGGCTGAGAGCTTTGGTTGTCTCCTTCAGTGGTACTTGTCCTTTGTGCTATTGATTATTTACAGAAAGATGTTTAATGAATTGGCTGTAATTGTAACCCCTGGGTTTTTCTTTACTAATGCAGCTTTCATGGTCCTGCAGGCTCAGCGCTGCTTCTCAGTATGGAAAAACTGTTGCCACATTTGCCAGCTTTATTACTAGATTGGTTTCAGGTAGTGGCTGCTCTGGAAGAACATTAATATAAGCTAGATTTCTGTTCCAAAACAGATGCAATTAGCATAGCAGTAAATTGCCTGATCACACCTTCCTGTTGATGTAATTGCAGAAAATGGTCGGGTCAAGGCAATGGTAACATTTCAGCCATCTCAGTAAGTGTATCCTGTTGCTGGAAGACCTTAGAGGCCCCTTGTGGCTGGACTACAAAGCTCCACAAATTGGGATGAATTTCAGTATCAAAAGTGCATCCTGTTCCTCACATCCTTGCTGAAACCCTCACCTTCATCTGTAACATCCCCTACGTGTTGATGTTTTTCTACAGAAACATGCCTGTCCTGGTATATTGTTGGGCGGGGGGAGACGGGGAGAGGGTTGGTTTGGATTATCAGAAATACATGTTAACACTGACTTCCTATCATGCCATGTGGGCGGGAAGTACCGGAGAGTTGTTAGTATAATGGTGGTACGCTTAGGAGTGAGGGGCTCATCTCATGATTTGATAAACCAATGAGTGAGGGGCTTATATCATGATTTGATAAACCAAGCGGGTGACTTCCTGAGCAGTTTTGAAAAGCTCTCAGTGTAGCTCAAAGGTGCATCCTATGTTGGAGCTCTCTAGTTAGCTGCTTTATCTGAAACTTTCTGCATTTCCTCCATTCCTATTCACAAGCACAGCTGGGGAGAATCCCAGCTTTCCTCGCATCCCGTGTTCTTCTGGGGTTATTCTACTAACTTCTTCTGAGTTATTCCACTTATAATAGTGGGGCTGAACAGTTTTTAGAAGATGTGTCTATGGCTAGGCAAGAGCATTCTGACTTCTGGTTGCATCCATAACAGAGATGATAATTTTCTACAAGGTGTTTTCTAAAAACTGAACTTCCGTATACTAGGCAAACTGGGAAAAGGATAAGGGCTGAGCGTAGGGGGATAGCCTGGCAATGAGCACATAACTTTGTAAGAAGCTTTGAAATGTAGCATTCTGATATAAACCCTAATGAAGATGCAACCTGACGTAAGCTGGCCAGAGAGAGGATATTGACTCAGCTCAATGCTTCTCTCAGTTCTAGGTAATTTCTGGTTGACTTTTTATTTAGTTTTATGGTAAGTTAGTGTTCTGAAAATAATCTGTTAGTTACCTGTGTTCCAAATGCATTTTAGAGCAGCACTGTCACAGCTGAATATCGCTGTAGATTTGTTGTCTTCTCAAGATGATTTAATGGGCTATAGTTTTAACCTTATTATTCTTGATACCTGCGTCAGACACAGTGGGAGATCAGCATTTGCAAACGGGTGAGGCAAGAAACAAGCAAGAATTAAGTCTGTCTGAAACCCCTCCCAGCTCTTATGCAGAGACTTTCCTGCACAAAAGTGGTGGTTGGTGACTCTCCCAACATTGCTCGCATTATGTCACTTTGAACTCTCATTCAAAAAGTTTGGTGGCATGCTATTAATATCCATGGTTCAGAGGGAAACCTGTGAGCTATGCAAGAGAGGAAAGTGTGCATGTTGCAGTCTTGACTTCTTTTTGCTGTCACTTTCTACTCCCAGCCTCTTCACCCAGATAGGATTTCTGGTGCATAGAGCGAAGAAAGGGACGCAGCCTGTAGCACTGCCCTGGGAATGTGTGAATTCCAGTAGCAAGGCTGGAGCAGGGGGCGGGACGGTCCTGAAGCCCTTTCATTCTTACAAAAGAATGAAGATAGAAATGAGATCCCTGCCACAATTTATTGGAGAGCTATTTCCCAAAATAATCTTGGCACGTAGCAAAATCTGGCTTGAAATACCTTCCTTTCTTCAATTGGTGGATGAACTTTGTGTCCTTCAGTTGTTACTCGGGTATCCTTGCATGATGAAGATGTGTGATGAGCACAGTTAGAACGGCCTAACTGTGGAGTTATTATTTGGAAAGTTACTTGGAATCAGATATACAAGACAGAAGATGTTTTGTGGATGTGTTACTTTGGTTTTCTTTGCTGAGGTGTACAGTCTTTGATGCAAACTGTGACTGAGTCAGGGAGCTGGAGGTAAATGGCAAAGTTGTGGAGCAGCTATAAAAGCACAGCTCCGATATCATGCCCTTGTCTTGCATCCTGTGGTACAGGCAGCTGTCAAAGTTTTTCTGAAGAACAAGAAGCTGGTGCCAGATTCTCCCTAATGGGAGTGGTGAAAGGCAGAACTGCTGAGGTAGCTAGTGGTTTCTAGGGAGAAGAGGCAGCTCCCCAAAATTGGAAGGACAATACTAACAGGAAAGTGTCCGAAAAAGCAGAGGGGCATGCAGCTCTCCCGGTATCTGTAAAAGCTGGGGAGCACTGCTTTGCTAAATCCTGAGTTAGGTGGGTGATGAGTAGCTTATGAGTGAGTTTGTCCCTAATAATGCTCTTGACTTGTTAAGTTTTCCTGACTTTTGGGGTTCTCAAAGTGTAAGAGAAAGGCATTTTAACACTGACGGGGGGGGGGCCCGCAGGATATAATAAGGCAGTAGCTTTGAAAAATGGAGGCTATTCCAGGCTCCTCCCTACTTTGAAGGCTTGGATTTGACAGCATTTTTCAGCTTGCAGCATGAGGGATGAAGTGGGGAGACGATCAATATGTAAGCAGCATTTTCAGCAGAAGGAAGCCCTTAAAGGGTTTTACGTGAAGCTTTTAGTCACAGGGGGAATTTCTCTCTTGGTTGTTTTTATTGATTCCTTTTTGATAGGAGGTGGGGAGGCTTGCTAGGATTGGAAGTCCTTTCTCCCAGTTTAACTCCCTCCCAGATCTGAGTTGAGTGATGTTTCAAGGAGGGGTTTTTAGTGTGCACATGCATTGTGCAATGTGATCTCTCTGCACGGCAGGAGGCCTGTGAGCTTTTTATATATAAGCTGGGGACTGCGCACATGAAACTTCAGTGTTTCCTGCCACAATAGGCTTGAAATGTGGCAGTGCTCTGAAATGTTTTTCCATGAACATCTGTGGAAAATGTCTTGCTCAGATTCTTTCCATTCAAGGCAGAACTTGCTGGCTGCAAGCAGAGACCTCCTCTCTTCTTTCTCCACTTGCTGTTGCAGAGGGATGTATTTATTGCATTTGGTTAACGATCTGAAATGTTAATGTAAAGGCATTTGTTTGAAGCTGCCTGAACTAAAAAATTAAATTTGGATTTTGTCTGCTGAATGGAAGTTGGGGGAGGGTGGTGGTGAGGAGGAGCCTAGTAGGTCATCAGTTTTCAAATACTCAATCAATGGCAGATTGTTCTCTGCTGGTTATATTTTAAGACTAGTGAGGATCTTGCGAATCCTCTGGTCTGGCCTTATGAATAACATGGATCACTAGACTAATTTAATAAAATGGATGCTTGCTGCACATCCAGTAGCTGTAAGCAAACGAAGCTTATTTGGGGGACGGGAGAAGCTGTCCTATATGAAGACTTTAATATTCTTCAGTGCTTCTTTTTGGTTTTCACAGTCTAGAAGTTCTGCCATCTTTTTCAAAGGTTGCCCAGCATTGCAACAGCAGCTGCCAGTGCTTGTCTCGAAATTTTCTCTTAATTTCATTGCATCATTTCTGCTGAAACTCAAATGCATCCTCTCTCCTCCTGAGCCTAGTGGATGATGTATGTGTACATAGCCTTTCTTTCAGCCTGGAACACACCTGTCTTCTGTTCCTTGCTGGTTTCTGAAGCCAGTGTATCAAGACAGCTTCTTGTAAGACCTGTGATTCTGCCCACCCAACCTGAAATTTCTTGCTCGTCTTCTGGTAACTTGAAGGTGTGACTCCAGTGGCAATGCCTTTGCACTGCAAAGGCTGAGCAGTGGATGAGAGAGGCTGTCTTTTTATGCTCCCCTTTGCCCACAGCCTTAGCCAAGCTGGCCAGCAAAGGTGAGAGTCAGAAAGCTGGGAACTTGCTTGAGATCAGAGTGCTTATCTGATACAGGTCTTATGTACTGATCTGATTCAAATGGCTTCAGCTGGCCTGCAGCTGTGTTTTTTTAATGCTGAGGCACCTGGTCTGTGTGAAATCCACCTGGTTTATCCTGGTGTCTTAAATTCTTCTTTGGCATTCATCCTTTAATTTTTTTATCCCCTTTATCCTGAACCCAGCAAACCAGGTTAGGGTTTAGAGTGTCTTTGCCTACTGTACACTCACAGGGATTTCCACAGAAGTGACTTCCTTCACTGCCCTTGAGGGAAGTATGGAGAAGGAAGCTTTTAATCGTGTATTGAGAAGTATGAGAGAACCATTTGGAGCTTGGCTGTGCTCTGAGCTGGTTTCCCCCTGTGCCAGTCAGCAGAGGACAGAAAGCTCTGGAGAGGCAAAAATAAAAGAGAACTTTAAGGGAAGCATTTCTATGAAATCTTCAACTCTGGATTACATCTGCATGTGAGCTCATTGCGCAGCAACGTATTACCATTAGCTTTGGAAGAAGCTGAGATAAACCAAGAGCTGCTGAAATATGAGCTGAGTATTGATGCTGAACTTGCAATTAAAATGAAATTATGCCCTGCAATGACCCTGAGAGATGCTCAGTTTCAAGAAAGGAGAATAGGAGGATTCTTAAAGGAAAGAAACCTTAATCATGGAAATGAATGAAGAGCAATACAGCAGAAACTCTTTGGCAGGAAAGGCTGGTATTTTCCAGCCACTGTTAATGGGCAGGAATATGCTTTGTCA